AAATTAGGCTGACTACTTCGAGAGTTGATGGAAGGTAGCAGAGTCATTCCGTGATCTCAAGTAACTTTTCGGCGATGGAACAATCACCCAAAGCCAACGAAGGAATGGGGCCTGCTCCTAGATCTGCCATATACACCAGCAGGAACTTCTATGGATTATCTTGTCAACCGTTCGCTGAGAAAATGGCTAGGGAATAAAAGTTATTTTGATTTGGATGACTTGATGGCCGATGTCAAGGCGTGGATCGCACCCAAGGCTCAAAACTTCTTCGCTTTTGGAATCCGAATGTCTAGCAAATGGGAGCAGCGCTTGACGTAGATGGTGGATGAGTTCCGGAGTAATTGTTTACATGTTTTTGTTCAGTATTTTTATCGTTTCGCTAAATAAAATTTGCTGAAAAAATCCGAAATAATTATGCATCGACCTAATATTTCTATCACATACGCCTGATAAGTGTGGGTTGAAAAATTGTGCATTTAGCCTTCTAGGCTTGAGACCTCGAATAATTTGACATAGTGATTGCTTCGAAACAGATCAAGACCAGTGCAAACTTCTTGTGAAATCAGAGTATGCAAACGGCAGCATCTGCCTCCAGTTTTTGAACTCATCGAGCAATTCACACTTTTAGACAACTATTGTAGACTACAGCAGGATTACGGATCAGGGTTAGAGTCCTCCAGATTTGGTCAATTCCTTTTTGGCAAGCAGAACCTGCATATGACTTCCATTACTTGCGCGTACATGACTTGAGCACTTACTCATGCTGGCCTGCTGATATAGGTCAGTGCTCGATCATCCCAGCAGAGTTTTGTACCAACTCACCTATCCCAGAAGGTTGGAAGGCGTGGTTGTCTTGAGCGGTAGCGATCCGGTTCTCAGACTATGCAAGTAATAGTGTATTACATTACATTACATTGCCTCCGCCTGTCAGAGTTTGTAGAGGCTTCTTTTTCAGAAATACAGCATGCGCATTGTTTTCGATGTGATTGTCATTTTTCTCTCTGACTTCAACTACTTGTAATCGCGCACACATTTGTGACAAATAATTGCGAGAACAGACTCAGGCATCTACCACCGAGCTCCGTCAGTTGTATGTATAGGAACCTTTGGAAACAACAGCTTCCGTTACAGCAGTACATGTATTTTGTTTGAACTTCCACCAATGTACAAATGCATTTATGTTTCCTTTAAGCATAGTGTGATTACAGAAGGATTCATGTTGGTGAAATTTTCACAACGGATACTGCTGTCAACGTCCTGACTTGGCGACATCGGCAAAGACGCAGCAATCCTTGGCGTATCTTTGCATTTCCCAATGTGTAGATTGCCCATTTCGAGAGGTTCAAATTACTTGTAAACTTGAGGATCAAATCGTACCAGATTTCTTGCCTGTATAAAAATCTCATAAATCACGTCCCACTCGAAACAGCAAAGGAAAATTCCAATGCAGCCTCTGTTGGAGCACAGCGTTTCTGTTCTTCTGATGTTCACAGAGCATTTTATGGCCTACAGTATGTTAGCAAGAATTATGTGTGACTTTTATGCACTGAGGCAAGTGAACGCGTGGTTGTTCAACTATTATACAGGCAACCGTTTTATGGAAAACTGTAAACATGGTACAGAAAACGTGATGCTTTGAACATCAAAAAACTTTGTTGCAAATGCTCTTCTCTCGTATTGGTTGAAGCTTAAATTGCAAGCTGCAAATGAATTAAACCCTTTCTTATTTTTTTACCACTCTTAGAGACTTAGAAGGCAGTGAAGACTATTGCTTTTGCCGATATTGGGTTAAGCGGAAGTGGTGTAGTGGCAAGTGGTGCACTATCACATGTGCATTATCACTGGTTTTAGACTCGGGTCGAAATCCATTAACGCTAAAACAGCATTCCGTCATCCATCCGGAGTCGGTCATTTAGTACCAGACTCGCTTGAGGCATGCAAGATTCACCCAATCCAGGTTTGATTCGGCAAACTGCGCGGCGAAATTCTAAAATTGAGGTAGGGTAGATGAGCAGGAACAGCTGGCCCTGCTCCTCCAATCTACTGAGAACCTGTGGCCCAATTACAATCACCAGAATCGTTTAAATCACCACAAACTTCGCCGCCATCGAGAGTTTGGTGAAAAGAGGAGAAATCAATCGTGATCAGTTGTTTCCCTCGATTGCTTTTCTCTCGATTTTTCACACTTTCTGCTCTGTGTCACACTTGCCACTAATGAAATGTTTCCCACTACTTTTTTCGCTTTTTTNTTTTTTCTGATCATTCCCAGACGACTAGTTTTCATTGAACCGTTTCTCGCTACCTGTTGTCATTTCTCATGTTTCGAATACTCTGAGAGCTGAAATCACTCTATTTTTCTTCATCCTCACTTCTCACTTTCTGCCTTTCAATAACATTAGCACCTAAATTAAAGCTTAGATAGGTCACCATCAATGCATCAATGACTGTATCACATTTTTTGAATCTACTTTCTCTGGACTCTTTCTACAAATGATAGTCGGCAAACTAGAAAAGTCAGCGGCAATCCAGTCTCTCTGGCGCTGGTGTTCTTCTCATGCAAAAGAGCATGAGAATAAGGTCAGCACCACCTTGGGAGGAGAACTCATGACGACAAATACTCTGTCCTTTTCCTGGCGAGAGATTCGGCCTGGGAGTACCGAATCCATTCACATACTGTCAGGAACATCAGAGAAATAAGTAGGCGTGAGTATCGAAAAGTCGTGTGTCTGGGGCTTCAATACCTTGATTCGTATTTTATTTATCAAAGAAAAAATTGGTATTGTGCACATCTTTCAGGGAGTAAATTCAAGAAGACACTGACCGCAATGGAAGGTTCCAGGCAATGGTCATGATTAGGAAGCAGGCACTCAAAAGTAGGAAGTTGATGGCCAGACGTATCTCACGATTGATACTTTGAGCCCTCTGCTCTCTATGTGTTCTCTGAAAAAAAGATGTCAATTTCCGCTGCAGGGTGCACGATAGGTTCTAGGAAGGGGGTGGGCTGAAATTTATGGGAGGCATAGGAAAATAACGAGTACCGTTTCCGTCGTTGTGCTAGTGGTAGGAACAGAAGAACTGATGTGTTTCTTTGTCACAGCGATTCGAAGCACACGAATTTTCCAAATAATGGCTACGTCTGCGCCAGCCATCACAACTGCGCAGATTGTCTGTAATTATCTAAGTGAGGCGATCTGCGTGAAAAGAGCCTGGTAGGTAGGTAGATAACTGCTGTCCCCACTAGGTACTTTATTTATCGAAAAATCTACCCATACCTGCAAAACGATGTTCCATATCCACCATACGTATGAGTACGGTTTGCTCAAGTCAAAGAACCAGTTGTGACTTTGAATATTATAGGAATAACCACACCATGGCGTAAACATAGGCACTTAAATAAAGTTATCAAAGATGTCAAATAGTTTTTTGCGAGTTACTGCTATCGAAACCAGTAAAAAAGGAGTACCTGCGAGTAGGACACTGACAAGGACAATAGAAAGATTGATCATATGCATATGTCGTGACGAAATTGCACGAAAATTTGTTGGGTAGAATGCAGCTATAAAATGAAGGACGGAAAGCACCAGTAAGGCAAACAGTTGACTATACCATTCCAAAACGATGGAAAGAGCCGAAAGGTAAGCTGGCTGTGGGGCTGAAAAGTAAAGTAATATCACTGTTGTAATATTGCTAAAAGGCACCTTACTTATGCATTTGTGTTCACGAAGACTCCAAATACTTCAAGATTAGGTTTATGTTCGCAGTGAGATTTCAAATTTGCTCGCGCAAATACGACCTGTGTGAGACGACTTGCCTTAGGTAGTAGAATGTGTTTGGGAATTCGCTCACTGAAAGGTCGCCCTTTGCGCAGAAGGTAGCAAGGCAACAGTAAGTCAACCTGTTTTATAGATGAAAGGACAAGTGATAGTTACTTCGTTTTCAAATCAACCCCGCCGGACGGAAGCGCCTGGCATTTAATTCCATCCAGAATCGTAGACGCGTATTGAATGCCTGTGGTGCCGGCAAACTGTGTGACTTGTGTGTGCTTCTATCTTCCCGGACGAGTCTGGTACTGTTCTTCCGACTCTAGAGAAGTGTAAAACTTGTTTGTTCTGAGCGAATATCCACACGGGACTCAAACTCGTAACCATGCTTGAAAGATAGTGCACCCACTTGCCACTAGTCCACCTCCGCCCTTCTTCAATAAATATGGATCGCCAGTGGTCGGAAAGTGAATTATTCCATTTATGCCGACGACCAGGTTAGACTGGCGTTCTTGAATTGTATGGCAATCTAAAGCTATCTGTGGAAGGAGTCGTTCGGTACAGTGTTTCTTGACCTCTTGTGCTTTCCACAATCATAGTGAACTATTGAATGATTATGTTTTCAGGTGAGCACAGTCAAAGTATCATGTTTTCCAACCATTTTACGTGAAAGCTACTTTGAGTTTACACAGTATAAAGCCTTATTCTCAAGAAGAAGAAATCGAGGAGAGTGAATTCTTTTTTGTTAGACAAAGGATCAACTTTTCAGCTCACTTTTGTAAAGATCTTCATCCATGAAATAACTCGGTACATCATGAATTATTGTGTTCAGATACATAGCAATGTCAAAGCCCATACATAGAAAAATTGTCCACAGAATAAGCTTTTCAGCAATTTCCTTTGTTTTGATAGCCATGAATATGACGGCTATATCTACAGCGATAATCAAGGTGTTGACAGCTATGTTGGCCACGTATAGAGCAATATCCATCTCCGCAGTCTAGACCGATAGGAAATAGTTGTCTAAATAGTAACGTCATAAAACTCAGATGTTAACTGTGGGAAGGTGATACATGGTGATCCTGCTGATACTAATATGGCACGTGGAACGTTTTCATAGTCTGACAGGAAGCTCCGAGAACAAAACAAATCAAAAATCTCCTAGAAACTACAGAAAACTGTCTCAAAGCCCTTTCATTGGCTGAGTTCTTCAGGCGATAGACACACATGGACAACCTGAAAATCGAAAATCGCCTCTGTTCCATCACTAGCCTGATCAATAGTTTCCTCAAACACAATTCGCGCAATAAACTGGTTTATAAAAATTTGTCTTGAGTTAGAAGTGTGGAGCAAGAACGGTACTCTTTCTGTGGTGAGAGAACCTCAAAATGTGTCAAACAAAACTTTTGACACAGTTCAGGCTGAAACGGTTTTTGAAGTATCCCTTGAGGATTTTTGACCCCTGCGTACAGCACAGGAGATGAAACCCGATGGAAAAATGGCTGAGATGGGGCGTAATAACGGCTTAGCGATGCTTCTTTTTGTATGCCACCCCCACCGGTGGTCAAAATCTGAGAAACTTGGCCGTTCAAGTACTCATCGGAATAACTGTTCTGAAAGAGAAGTAATAAACAACATGCAGGTCAACAGGTATCAAACATCACGCCCGGGCTGGAGACTCACGCCTCAGGTACGTGTTTAGATCAAAGGGGCAGCTACTCGAGCCCACGCGACAACGGCTAGGGTCGGTTGCGTTCCCCAGGTTGACCGTGCACCATGTTTTATAATATTTATGCATACCGCTTACTGTTTGAGTGGGTGGTGCAATCAGAGCACCCTGCACATTGTAGGTACCTAGCCGATTCTTACGCATTCAACATCTTCTCCTTTGCCTGATTGGGCTAAGGGAGCGTTGCACGTGCTTCATTCATTATGATGTTCTAGATAACGCTTTTGTAATTATTTATGTTTTCTTGGCCTTTCTTTTCGATGCGACGCTCCATGAGTGCAGGCAGTAAATAAATAAACGAATGAATCGATAAATAAACAAGTACGAGAGTAGCGCAGAGTAAAATAACATATGCCAGGATCTCCCTCTGATGAGAACGCAATTCTAGTCATTTTCTGCTTACTGTAGTCAGATGAACGCCGTGATACAAACATTGAATTGCTCTTCAAATTCATTTCCAGACAACTGTTGTCGTCACATTCTGGCACACCCCAATTTTACTGCTGCTCTGATGCCTTATATACATGCCTAGTTTTGCGTTTCTTGGCCACTTATTTACTATTCAAGAACCACATACCCGGTTAACCACATACCCGGTCTCAGCAAACAGCTGAAATGGAAGCATTAAATGGAGGCACACTTGCCTGTGCTGTGCCTTCGCTTAATGCTGTTGAGCTCGCGAATATGCCTCCTTGCAGGGTGTGTTCTTTCTGGCGCTGAATGAGAGACTACAACCTAGTGAACGTTTCGCGACATTACAATTTGTGCTGGTAGAATTATTGTTAAAATTGTCGCCTAGCAGTTGTGTTTCGAAGTGCAAAATCCCACAAAAAAAANAAAAAAAATCGGGACAAGTGGTGAACAGCAGAATCTCAGAAAAAGAAAGAAACAGATGGTGAATATATGTACAATAGCAATGAGACGTTGGCAAATAAGACAGACAGCACTCGAAAAGTTGATAGACTACACACATGACTCCGCCCACGCTACCGTAGCCTTAGGCCTATCAGGATTACGGTCCTTCACAAAAGAGACATAAATGTTTCCTCTACTTTCTTATTCCGTTCACTTCATTCTACTTTTTTTATTTTTTCTGAAGAGCTAACGTTTCACTGCACATCCAAAAAATACAGTGCTGAAACCCAATAGTATTGCATAACTCGGCTAGGCATTGTGGACAACAATTCGTGATCCTCCGCGAAAACAGCAATAACCGAGCACCTTCGCCTAATGAGGCTTCAGCAAAGATTTCGGGGTTATGAGGACTTGAAGAGATTGAGGATGAAGAAGTACATAATCGAAAAGAACGTGAGGAAGCCTTATGGTTGCCACCACGCCTTCTCCTAAGGCCTGTACGGAACACAAGTACCGAGATAATACTTTTTCACTATTATTGTTTCCTGGTGACCGACAAGGTTGGCGATATATGGACTAAACTTTAGCCTCGGATGGAGCGCGAATTAAAAGCGCTTTATTAATTAACTGATTATTGAGCGATTGATTACGATCTGCATTTGGTGCATATGAAAGACTGCACAAATGAAGTTTTCGTCATCATTGTTGCTGACTCTGTTTCAGAGCTAGTTGAAGGAGCGAGACCACTACTCTTCACTATTACAAAAGTAAGACCAGATAACTGGTAAGCTAGCTTCAACCATTTCACATAGTAGGATCCTGGTATTTTATTTCTGCAGAAAGATTTTATTTCAACGAAATATCGAAAATTTCAAGTAACGAATGTCATTGAATGAGTGTTTATTTTGTTCAGTTTTATGATGAACTCTTATTCCTACCTTCTTGGTTTTTGCAGATCTATGCAGAGTAGTGAACAATTGTAAAAGTAAATCTGTGTGTCCGTTGGTCAATGAAGTCTGATGAGAGCTTATAAGTACAAATTCTAGAAGGATCCCGCTCCCATCGCAGGAAGACTTCCACATTAGCGAGTAAAGAATATGCCGCAGCGCTCTCTATCCACTGGAAGAGGTAAGCCGAGCCGTGGTGAGAATACGATCCTGCTAGAAGTATAGGAATCCATATATTCAAAAAACTGTGTGAAGATGTGGCTGCTACTGGCCCTTTAAAACCACAAATTCTTACACAACACAACCTTCTGGTTTTCCAGTGATCAGCAGAGGTAAATATGCTTGCATCAAATAATATGTGTCAAAAAAATTATTGTAACTGTAATCAAGAACGACGTCATCAACAACGAGTTGATCAGTGAACGTCTGCAGAAGCTCAAAGGTCTTTGGTGTATCTTTGCGTTCTTTAATGCCCTAATGACCGGCTTTCAGAGGTCAAAATTATCAATAAATAAATATTTCGACATAGAAGTCGTACCGAGCTCCTTGCCTGTTGAATGAAACACGTAAGAAAGGTCAAATAATAGTAGAAGAAAACTCATCAAAAACAATACCTTTACAGTGAACTAAGGAGGCCGGTTCATGTACATTTCAGTGCTTTCCATCCTCATAGACGTGTCAGGTGCCAACTGACCGAACATGGAGGGTTGGAAACCTTGGTTTGCCCATGCGGATGTCGATCCGGGATTCCAACGCGTGACCATGCGTGAGTAATAGTGGACCACTTGCCACTACACTGCCGTCGTCAAGTGTGTAGTGTACACTAAAAAACAAAGGTGCTACCAATACTGGGTAGGTCAGAGTGCATGAAAGGCACGGTTCGCGACGAGTTCATGATCCTTCATCGGGTGCAAGACGAAATTGTTTATCCATCGGTGTCGAAAATATGAGAGAACTCGTGAGAAGTTCCGAAAATTGAGGCCTTTCGCAGATTACTTCTTCATTTTAAGGCGGGATGAGGTGCCGTGATGAATAAAGGCTGTTCAGTAAAGATTTAAGATAGTGCAGTGTGTATTGAATTGAAGCCAGATAGATTTCAAGCAGTGAGGATTTGGAAGCCATTTTTCTTTACCAGCCGAACCCATGATATCTCTCCAGAATTAGTTATGATAATTGCACCAAAAACAGTTCGTGCACTTAGAGGAACGATAGTTACGCATTAAACAATGCCTACAAATGTATAAAGAACGTTTTATTTTCACTGATTATCAATAAGTAATATAACGGTAATAATACGCTGTAATATTAATACACCGTAATAAACATCACTGTATTCAGAAAAAGAACTGTTATTTGCAAAGTAACTACCTGCTGAAATATTAATTTAGATTACTGCTGGTGTGCAATAGCTGAGAAAGCAATAAAAAGGTAGATCACTGAGAATCAACGGAAGAGTTGGCAATTACACAGCACATAACCCGTATTATTGTGCGTAATAAGCATACCGCCTTGGGAATCATCCTCCACTTGTAGTAGAGGAATAATTGTGAGGGTTTATTTCCTCTCAAAGAATAGCGATGGATCAATAAATCTGAAGAGGATGTCCATGCATGAACTTTTTAATGATAACCTTTACCTCAACACAACGTCAAGAAACTCGACGAATATTTTCTGCTGGCGATCGTTCTTTCATGAAGTTCTCAAATAAAGAAGAGAAAAGGAAAAAAGGAGCAGGAAGGGGAAGCTAGAAAAACTTTTGGGGTTCTCATACAGTATAGTAGGATGTTTGAAACTCTACGTAAAACGAAGTCTGCTGAAATATCCAAACATGGTTGCAGAGCGAAGTTGAAGGAAACAGATTATTGAAATTTTCATTCTTTTCTCCTACATTATTTTCGATCGAGTATCGGCGGAAAACATTCTCTGCAGAGCTAAAGGCAAAAATTGGCAAAAATCAAAAAATGCAGTATATCAAATTTCAACTTGACACTAAATCGAAGGAACCAGTCTCGATCTTGCTGGAGCAGTTCGGCTCCTTGACAAGAAATTATAGCACTGTTGTGCCACATTGCTCACATTCACCACATTACTGTGTTCGATAAAACTGCAGCTGCTTCTTTCGAATTACATTCGGGTTGCTTATGATTAGTGATAATGGGTTCATGATCATCACTTCGACTGCTCTTATTATTACTTATTTCGCAATTGTGAATTGAAACATAGTGCTAAAACTGCATTTCCTTCCCGCCTTCCATCTACTGCAATGCTGGCATATCTCCTTACTCAACGCAGATTCCTCGCTCCGAGTCTAGTCGCACCATTTCTAATTCCCTAATGACTGATAGTTGAGCTTGAGAATCACGAAACAGTTTTACAGCCCAACCCTGTGTCAAAAGTACAGAAAATTACATCATAGAAGACCTTCCAGAGGACTCTCTGGCCCGATCTGGGCGGGCAGTTTAATCACGCTTCAAGCCTTGAGAAAACCGCTTCCTAGCCCTGGGTATTGATAGAACAGAATACTTGAGATCGTGTAACAGACCTATCACACAACTCAATAACAGAATTATAGGAGTCCACATATTAAAAAGAAATGGCATATGTAGATATTAGTATTATTGACCATCTATAACCACAAATTGTGATACAGCGAAAGTTTCCGAGTGATTAGTAATGTACAAATGTAAAAAGGCATGAAACATCATGTAACTGAAAAGTGAACTATCGTGCCGGTGTGACTGTAATAACTGACGACGGCTTCAATGGCTCGACCAGGCGGCGTCTGCAGAGACTCAGAAAACCTTCGCGTATTTTCGCATTTTCTAGTGTGTAAATTGCCCATTTCGAGAGATTCAAATTAGACGTCAATTTGAAAAGAAAATCGTACCAGATCCCTTTCCTGTAACAATAAGTTACGTGATAAATACTATATGAAAAGTTAAAGGAAAAGCGTCATGGAGTTATGAACACATTGTAACAACAGATGGAATACTTTCCACATACAATTAGAATAAGCTTCCTCAAAATCCATTATATTTGACAAAGTTTGCAACACTTCATGTGCAGAAATTTTATTTTCGGTTCAAAGCCTTTTTTGATATTCACAAAACTGTAGAAAGCCAGCAGACAATGCGTAAGGAACAAAAATGTTCTGAGGGATTCAGTCAGCAACCATCATGGTACAAATATAATCTTAATATCGCTTGACGCACTTCAGTATGCCGAAGTTCATTCGTTGACGGAGAGTTCTACTCTGCCCTTGGGCGCCTTGGGAAATCTGAGTACTGCCGCTTTTTAAGAAGCGTTGAATGTCGGTGACTGTGTCGTCATCCTGCATTCGTAGAAATAGAATCTCCAAGGCGTACGTCGAGTCAGCTGAGAACACAGTTTTGAACATCCGGAGTCGGATGTTCGTCCTCGAATGGCCCCCCGCCGCGCGCTACCTTCTGCTCAGTCCCGGAGGTTGGTCTTAATCATGCTTGCTTCTCGATTTTAGTAAAAGTAGCTAGAGTTTTCAGAGATATCCGTTATGTTAAGCTTAAGATGAATATCAAATACCGATTCATTTCTCGTGAAGATGAGCATTAGATTTAGGTTAATTTGAGTGCGTTGTTGGGGATTGGGTGCCCACGTACCCCTGAGGATAGGTCGATGGATGCTCGGCTAAGACACCCTGTCTCCCCGTTCGCTGAACACTATTTCTAACGACGAAATGTGCAATGTATAATACATTTAGGAGTCATCTACAATGAGTTTAATTTAAGAATTAGATACTAGTAAAATCACTTAAGGACATTGCATAATAATTGCTTCACTTTCTAAAAGCTCTTATGCAAATGGAACGCTACGAGTAATACATTTCTGGTTAAGGCACGCATTCATGTAACAACTGCAATAGGACCAACCTGTGCGAGACGAGACATAAGGAGGTGAGATGGAGTGATCGACGGTTGCGTATATGTAATGCCCCTGGAGAAGAGGAGAGCACAAAGCAATCCAAGGTAATTGCAGCAACCGGGCTTGATGATTACATGAATGACTGACTGACTGACTGACGGCCGAGGCCATAATAAGAAGATAAGATTGTGACCCGAGCAAATTCTGCTGTTTCGTGGGAGGCCGATGAAAGATGGAATTAAAGAGTGGTTCCTTCCCGCCGCATCTCCGAGCTCAAGAGGATGCCACGCGCGAGCCGCCACGTTCGAAGACACGTGTTGTCTAGAACGGAAATGAAAAAGTCGTTATCCTTTCCTCCCATGTCTTGCCATTCTAAACGACGCTGCTTTGGAACACCGCAATGAAGAATTCGAGCGAGATGGCGCTGCCCTCCCGAGCCCCTCTTTTAACATTGCCACTCTTTTTCATGCAGGATGCGCAAACATGATTCATCTCCTTATAGGTCTTTATCGGAAAAACCCAAAAGAATAGATGTGAACATTAGAGACACAGGAAATTTTTTTTATCCTTTGACTGCAATAAATCCAGGGCAATTTTGCTGTCTCCACGTTTTTCTGGAAGAAAAGTCAAACTACTTACCGGAATGGTAGGTTGTAGACAACGGTCATAATTAGGAAGCACACGCTCAGAAATACGAAGTTGACGGCTACACGTATTTCGCGATTGATTCGTTTTTTGCGATTAACTACCTGAAAAAAATGTGCCGTTGATTAAGATCTCGTGGAGATTCGGGAATCTCGAAATTATCCCCATATCAGTTTCGAATCCCGAGAGAGCGTCAAGTCTACAGCTATTACCCAAAATTATAATCTTGCTCGATGTTCATCAATATTTACATCTGTTGAGAACGTCTTGACAAGAGCCTGGCCTCACTCCAGAAGGATTTTGCAATTTACAGAATGCATAAAAAATCGTGTCCAATACCGTTTCCAGCATAACAGTAGCTCTAGGAGGTAAAGTGGTCGTATGTTTATTCGCAGCGACGATTCGGAGCATACGTATTTTCCAGATAATGACTATGTCGGCGCAAGCCACCACAACGGCCACAGCTGTCTGCAAATCTTCTGCTGTAAATGGGGCAACAACCAGTATGAACTGGTGCATGAACCTTACAGTGCTGATCTGTTGCCTCTACGAAGTAATTTTTTTCAGAATAAAAATTTCGCATACCTGTAGAACGAGATTCAAACTTTGGTATAGGTACGAGTACGGTTTACTCAAGTCGAGGTACCAGTAGTGACTATGAACTAAGTAGGTAAAGCCACAATACGGGGTAAACATAGGTACTGAAATGCAATTAGTTCATGAAGCTGAACGATTTTCTACAGAGACTGCTACCGGAACTTTGAAGAAAATGGTATACCAGTAAATAGGATATCGATGAGGACAATGAAAAGATTGATCATCCGCATATGTCGAGGCAAAATTGTACGAAATTTTGCCGGAGTAAAAACAGCCATGAAATGAAGGGCTGCCAGCACCAATAGGGCAAACAGTTGGCTGAACCATTGCAAATGAAGTAAGAGAACAGAAAGGAAGGCTTCTTCTCGGGCTGAAACACTATGATTGTTGCTGTGGTTCTCCTTCATTTTATAAAGTGCTGCACCTAGGAATAGAGGATAAAGTCTTCGGGTACGATCGTCCCGGTTTAAGCATGCGCCCCTGCACACAAATTCCATTCGAANTAGCTACCAGAAGTTTGGAACCGATATGCCTACCCCACATATAAGGGTGGAAGGCTTCTTATGCAGGCGGATATCGATCCGGGATTTAAACCCGTAACCATGCGTGTGTGTTAGAGCGTCAGTGCTCTTATACCAACACAGCCCATGCCGCATTTATAACTTAGAAATAGTGAGAGCCACAACAACATCAAAATCAAGGTTACCCGACGCTTGAAATCCGGAGTACAACCTATGACCGCGAATTAAGGGACCACTTCGTTATATTGTGTAGCTTCCTGGTACTTATGCACGTGTATTTTTGAGAATTCAAAGTGATAAAGGAGTGCCCAGTGCCTATATGAAAAAAGTTGTAGATAGTAATCGTGGTTATGTTAGTAGCATAGTCTTCCAACCTTTTCTACTTGTGTACGGTCATTCGAATCGGAAATGAACGCATGTTCCCGCGCAATCAATGTCTGTTTTTTTTCCTAAGCCTCCTTGCGGAAATGTAGTCTCTACAATACTGATCGGTTAGTAGCATCGGCTGCTACCTCCACGCTTCTAGACCTCGACAACGCGGATTCCTGAGGTAAGGACTTTATCCTACTAAAACCGATTGGAGCCTGAGTTCCAATACAAAGTTTCCCATGTACAGCAGTGCTCAAAAGTCGTCGTTCAAACGCTTACTAGTTTGTCAATTTTTCCTTAGTGGAAGAAATCGCGCGAAAATTTGTTATATATGAGTAGAGCATATTTCACACTTTTCAAAACTACTTGACTACAAAGCATCAATATTCACATAACTAAGAGCAAGGCGTTTGTTGCAATAGGTGATTTCGCTGAAAGCAGGGTTGGCGACATCTGTGATTTCTCGCACCTTGTGTGTTCGTGTTTTTTTTACTGTTTTCACCATTAGCGTTCGTACGGCTCAAAGAAAGAAAACCCCGAACGACCAATGTTCTCCGCATCGCCAGTGTGATTTTGAGTTTGAGCTCTTTAGAATATCGGGAACCCGAACAGATTGCAGTTAATGATGACCAATGTTTACAACACACCCATACCATACATACTGAAATTTCGCAACCCAATAGGAAAGGGACTGCGACTGGAAATTTGGCTGTAAAAGAATTTGGCCGAGGACTTTTGAGCGTTACGAGACATGTGAGAATTACACAAAAGATGCAAATATTTTTATAGGAAATCATCGTAACGTCCTAGTCATTCCATCAGTGGCTTTGATTGCTCTAGAGCCTTTTCCCGTTTACAAAAATTGTTCAGCGCCGGATTCCTACATCTCGAAACAAACATATTTCCAACTAATCGCTTGATATGATCTTTTGCAACTTACGCCAAAGATTATCCCTTTCCTCGATAGCTCATGGTGGAATTAACTTGTATCGCCAACAAGAATCATGAGCCAATATTTCAATAAAAATTAGGAGGTCTTTAGATGTTCTCCTGTGGCTTTAACACAGACGATAAGCTCTAGAAACTAGTTCTGGGACTATACCAAGCTTACCCACTCATTTATTCCTAAGTCTTTGAATAAAAGAGAAATAAGGCAAATATGTTAGTGTAGGAACTTCACAAGAATAGGACTCTAATAGCTTGAGAGCGAACAGTCCCGGCGGAGATGGTGTAGCGGCAAATGGCGCCCTATCACACATGTATGGTCACGGGCTCGAATTCCGGATGGATATCCGTCTAACCATCAAGGGCCACGTACGCATTCAATACGCCACTGCAATTCTGAATGGAAGTCGAATACAGGGGCGCATCCCTCTGACGAGATGATCAATTCCCGAAGTCTTCACCCTTCATTCTATGTACCTACCTGGACTGGCAAGCGTCAATGATTTTTGAGTATTGCGAGCGCCTGTGCTTAAAGAGTTTTCATGAAGGGGAACGACAGTCGTATTACGGATGCTTTGTGAAGGTTTTTTTTGCAGTTACATATACATTGATCTCTCTGTTAACATTTTCGGACTGGTTGCTTGTTCATTCAATCGTGTTTCTCGTTAAGGCTCATTTGATTTTCAACAGCATGAAGCTAACCCATTAGAGAGAAGAAATCAACTTGATTAGAAAAGCGTGCTGATTGACGTAGAATTTGTTTTTACAGCTCACTTTTGAAAACGTCCGTATCCATGGCAAAACTAGGCACATCATGAATTACAGTGTTCAAATACACTGCAATATCCGTGCCCATGCATAGGAAAATGGTCCATAAAATCAGTTGTTCAAAAATTTCCCTCGTTTGGATGGCGACGAAGATAATAGCTACATCTATAGCAATGATGACAGTGTTGAATGCAACGTTCGCCACGTACAAAACGACCGCTATATCCATAACCTAAACTGATTGCAAATGAATGTCTAGTCGAGAAATTCGAATAAATCGAATGAAGAAATAATAGTATAGTGGGAGGTGGATAGCAACTTTCTGGAGAGGTAGTTACTGGAACATGGGTGGAATATCTTACACCCTCCCCCACCCCCCATATAGTTCAGACAAAGCACTATGAGACTCCTTATACAGCTCTTCGCAGAATTCCCTTGCTGGAAAACCGTTCAATTTGCTGGAGGACCAAAAAGCACCCGACGGGGTTTTCCGAATATCAATCTAGAATCTCCCATGAAGGTGAGATAATGCGAGATAATGAAATTCTCAGAAAGATGGCAAACCAATTCTGAAGTATATATTTGACAAATGGATTTGTTCTTCTAGAAAGTTACACCCAAAGTCAACCCTAAAATGGAAACAACACATGAATTTGCCCTTATAATCGTTTTCGAAAATTCGTTTTAGTTACGGAAAAACGGGCGAATTGCTACTTCTCGGAAACAAGAAACAAGAGGCATGACAGTCAGGCATGTTGGGATGAGAATCTTGATAGTTTTTCAAGTGAAGACGATATCGCTCCTACAGTAGATAGATCGTGCTCCGCCTACACCACTGGTGCCTTGAGGAGTTCCGGCTGTTTCAAAGGCACTGCAATACTTCTAATGGAAGAGAACGAGTTATCCTCTCAGGTTTTCATGATTTCTCCTATAATATTCTTCGGGAGCCAAATTCTGTGCGCGTCTATTGAGCAGGGTACTCAGAAGTTCTAAGGCTTTCTGAAACCTATTGAGGGGGCGATTGCTAATAGTTTCGATCTGTCTTCTGATATGTAATAGAAAGCACCTCCACAGCTCGCTCCCCTTGATCGAACCTTCTTCCTACATTAATTATTTTAATGCTAAACGCGAAAGTGTTTTCAACTGTAGAGTATCAACATCCGGAGCGAATGCAGCGAGGGGAGAGATCTTTTTGAAAACTTTTAGTCTATTACAAGAGTGGAGTTCATGTTTGGAGATTACTTCATTCTGGAACGTAGCCATGACTGGGGGTTTGAGAGGGACCAGGAGCTCAGCATAACTTACACACGTCTTTTCTATACCACCAAGGTGTTCGAATTTGGCCATCCATTGAATATAAGTGACTATGCTTGGATACAGCAAAAAGTAGGGAGTCGCATGTTTGATTTTCAGCAGCAATTTTTAGTCACTAGTCACGAGCTCTTCCATAACCCTTTGGACTGGGTTTGGTGTGGTACCCAAGCCTTGGATAGCTAGTACATATGTGGAAATCCGACCAGAAAGAAATACATATGTGTGTAGTCTGGGAGAGTTTGTAGGACTGCTCATATCCATCTTCTGCTATTCGGAGACTGCTAGAATGTCTACTTCTTATAGAGTATCCACACATTTTTCGCTCAAGTTGTGACCGGGAACCTTCACCAACAGAGACATCCGTCTTTTTTCACTATCGAAGGTCTTTCAAATTTTGCAGCACTCCGAGTTGTACGAGGCCTTTTTGGAGGATTGAAAAACACTGCTCTCGTCTCTGGCAAAGCAAGGCAATAAGGAAACAAGTTTAGTTTCATTCACAACCGTGAATGACGTCAGATTGTGCCGACGTCAACGAATTTAATCAGAAGATCCATTGATGTCAACGTAAATTTACCACCTTCACAGCGGTGGATGTTTTTGAACGGCTAATTCAGCTACTCTGTTTTTTGACCACTTCCTTCTCTATGTTCTTAATTTTGCCTTTATTTCTTGGAGGAGGAGTAAACTTGCGAGTTTTTTCACTTCACTTTACGTCTTCACTCTTCTGGAACAGTCTCACCTTAGCTAGTGAACACTATGCTATAGGGTTTTGTTCGCAGTGGGAGTGTCCTCTTCCCCCTCCACCTCCAGTATTGCACCACAATCTACCTCTCCGTCGAAGATTCCTTGACCTTAACACTTCTGTTGGCCTGCTCGCCCCTTGAGTGAACCGCATAGCTTTACTATGGTCCCTAACCTCATATTGTGCCATTTCTTAGAGATCCAACTTCAACGAACTGTGTACTAATAACAAGCCTATACCTGGTCTAAACCGTTTTTCTGCCCATGCGCGATGTAGACAACGCACAGAAAAAGATTCATCCAAAACCAGCAAATAAGTAAATATTTGAACATAAGATAGGCTATGGTAGACAGTACAGTTTTAACTGAAAGGTGCATAAAGAACAACATAAGACGTTGCTCATCACTAAGCTCACTGTCAGAAGTATGAAAAGAATGACCGTCAGGAAGAATCAGTGTTTGAAGGTATCAGCTTTCTATGATCACGAACGATGCTCACCGATCAGATCATCCAGTAGTGTATATTGGACCGATATCCGCCAGGGACAAGCAAGCCTTCCATCCCACTGGGGTCGGCTGATCGGTGCCTACTCGTCTGGGAGGACAAAGCACTGATTTGTACATACGTCAGATGGTCACTTCAAGTCATTGTGTCGGCTACATACGCACTGCAATTCTGAATGGGAGTCGAGTGCGAAAGCGCTTCCCTTATACGGGTTTGATTAACTCCCCAATATTTTGTCTTTTGTCCTTTATTCAATAATGTACAAAAATATTCAGAGTATTTGTCTCAAACATCATGGAATCAAAAGGAAACTATCGTGCTGGTGTAATTGTCAAAACGGACGATGACTCGAGTTGACGACGTCTGCAAAGTGAAAGAAATCCTTCGCGTATCTTCGCATTCTCTAGCGTATAGATAGCCCACTTGGAAAGGTTCAGATTAAATGTGAATTTGATGAGATATTTGTACCAATATACTTGTCTGCAAAGAAAAATTAGTCGATTTACTATCAAGTGGATAAAACAGAACTTCCTTCTTTTAACTGGAGCGAAAAATTTTCAGTTGCCACTTAAGAACTTCAAGTAGTTACGTACAAGGTTCAGGTTTTTTACTTCTACCCAGCCCCTACTCTTACAACAGCGTAAAACCACGCATCTTCTGAAAAATCGCAATGAAAAGAGAGAGAAATCCAGTCGAAAGTTGGAAGAAGGGCAAGTCGTCCACACCGAGGTGACCGCGGAGTGGGTAACGGAACTTCTCCCCGATTGCGGCATACTCCTTTGCGGCATGCGGCAAATGTCACTGCAATTACCGTACTCACCCCGCCTCCCGCCAATATAGGACGGGATATTTTTTTTTGACTGGCTTGCTTTATCATTGGATTTTATCGTTTTTTCTTCTGTTTCTTTTTAGTTTTCATGTTTATTAGACTTGATTAATTAAAATGACTCCTCCTATATAAACGNAAGACCGCATTGGAAATGAAAAGAGCGGCCAGCCAATTCACCAATCTTCCATCGCAATCCTGCGATAGGCGGCGGGTGCGGCGTGTGCGACGCCGGGTTAGGGGAGAAGTTCCCGGACCCACGCGGAGTTGATCGTGTGCTGCTCCGGGGAATACATCGAAAGAGTCAGGAAGATTATACCTGAGGATGAACCGTTTGCTGACAGTTATGTGAATCAGGCCGTGAGGCTCTGGGTAAATGCGGCATGCTGGCATCGGTGGGGATAAGCTGGTTACCCCTACGACTACCGCTGCTCCGCATCTCTCGGAGAAAACCTTGACCGCATAACAGCGCTCTGATAGGACAACGCAGATAGTTGGCGGAACTTCTCCCCGAATTCCGCGAGTTCGAATGCTGTCAACCTTTACTATTTCAAACTGCTTTTGTCGAAATCCTCCCCTCTAAGCGATAGGGTGGTCTTTGTTAACTTTTTGTTAATTGCCTGTTTTTGCATTAAATTGAGTTTTTTATTTTTCCTTGTATTGGTGCTCTCACCTTTCGGAGTTAACAGATCAATAGAGGCTTTATGTAGAAACTGAGGTACTACAAAGGAGAAAAACAATAGCATCTAACCCTATATTGCAAAATCGACTCATACTTGCGTGCTCCAATCGACCGCACCATTTGTACGATGAATGCCGGCTAGGGGCATGTGTCAAATCGTGCGTCCGAGGATGCAGTGGGGCCCATATTTAAAGTAGAGTAGATTAGAAGGATAATCCGATCTCGCTAAACTAGTCTACTTCGAGTTTGTGCCCCTAAAATTGGCGTCATGGTCGTTCAAATCGTTACGAACTTCACCGCGCGATTTGCCATGCGCATCGGACGCACGATTTAACCGTCTTTCTGCTTCTAGCGCGACACTCCTCAGGGGAGAACCACCGCAGACAGAGGGAACATGCGTCAACCTGGGAGAACAGCGAATCAGGTGACCGACTGGAATTAATGGTAGAGGGAACTCGAAGCTGATAGACCCTCTAACTCATTGTGATGCCCAAATAACCCTCGAGCTATTTCACGCTGTTAATGAAAAAAATTTTTAAAGTAAACAGGTAGATGAGACCTTTCTATTCAAATAGGTGTTCCTGGGCAAGGCTGTAAAAAATTAGCGTGAAATGGTTCTTTCAATGACGTCGGGTGCAATGGAAATGGAAGGCATAGGACTTTCCAAATTAAGTAGGCATTTGCTTTTCTCGGCATAGACCTTCAACCCCATACACTAGTCCGTAATTGGTGTCAGCGGAAGGGACGTCAGAAGGCCCTGATCGTTTTTCTCTCAATCTTGGCACGAATTGACTTTAGTATACATATGCCGGCTAGATCTTTCCAATTTAATCAGAAAGGCGCTAGTCGATGTAATGAAGTAATGAAGAAATTATAAGGGCTTACGCAGCATAGCATGAGGAGATTTTGATGATCAACTTCGCCTATTTTTAATCTTATAATTTTCGCACCTACTGAAATATCTGATGGAAACTAACAGTTAGCAAATAAGACATGTTATGTGCGCTTACAAGGGAAGGATCCCAAGTCGAAGTGGCCATTTGAAATGAGATCTAT